ACAAGGGATGAGCTTCTAGTCCATCGCCCCAACCCTCCTCCTTTATCCGGGCTTGGGACGGGCACCGACATTTACTGAGCTACTCAGTGCACCCAGCACTTACCGGTGGCGGAGTTACGTGGCTATTACTGTCTAATAATAAATTAAAAAGAAACTAACTTTCCATCTTACGTCTTCTGATCTGCACAAAGTGAAAAGTTTTCTATAAAAAATAATTTTTTTAGTAATAAATAAAGTTAATTTATTTATTAATATTTATTAATTTATTTTAGTTATATTTGAATAAAATTAAATATTATTAATTATTTAAATTTAATTTTAAATGTAATAATTTCATCTCAATATATTTCAAGAACTTATTGCTCTAATTATAGGGGAACTGTTATCAGCTCAGTGGGGTGGTTGTAAGGTCGAATAATAAAAGAAAGGATATAACCAGAATACGAAGACATAGAAGAATAAAATGAATTTCGTGCAGGAAGATCGTGCACTGATCGTATACTCATTCTGCAACAGGTCATCGAAAAACGGAAGGCCAGAAATCTATCTACCCACCCATTGTTTGTAGACTTAGAGAAGGCATACCATACGGTACCTTTGAAAAAACTGTTTCAAACATTGACGAAAGTAGGTCTCAGTAAAGAGTATGTGAATGCTATCGCAAATATATACAAAAATGCAAAAGTGTCTTTAAAGAAGAAAACTTTATATCTGAATCATTTCCAATAACAAAGTGGCTTAAACAAGGATGTTATCTATCTCCGACCTTAATTAAAATATATATTCAATCATTGCTAGAGCAGTGAAGGAAACAAGTATCCGGAATGGGAATAGACATAGGCGGTGGTAAATGTCTAACAACTTTATTTTTCGCAGATGATCAGGTAGTCGTAGCGAATGATGAGGAAGACATGGACTACATGTTTAGAAAACTAAAGAAAGAATATGAAAAATGGGCCTTAATATGAATATGTCAAAGACAGAGTATCTTAAAATAGGAGATGATGAAGAAGATCCAGAGTTAGAAATTAGAAACACAAAAAATGCAATAAGTATAAATATCTCGAATCTATGTATAATATCTAAAGAAGGCACTACCAAAAGAGACATCGAAAACAGAACGCAGCAGGGAAAAAAGCGGTTAACATTCTATAACTCTACTATCTCTACTAACTCTCTACTAGTACCAACAATTCTTGTGTGTCAAGTTTTCTCCAAATTTTTAGCAACACTGGTTGCCTATATTAAGATATTATTTAATAGAAAAAATGCAATATTAAGTATAATCAATTTTATTTTGTCATATATACGTTTATATATATATATATATATATATATATATATAATATATATATATATTTTCTTATATTATACATTTTTTATTAATTATTTATATATATATATATATATATATATTAAACCCAAGATATCCGTATATATATATATATATATAATATATATATATATATATATATATATATATTTAAACAAAAATCATCGTTTCATCTATGTTCTCACTAATCCAGTCGATGTATGAGCTAACTTTTGTATATATGGTGACTGAACCATCGTGAGCACAAGGATGGGTACCCCAAGAAACAGCTCCAATTAGAACACCGTCTTGAACTAGAGGTCCACCCGAATCACCGAAACATGCACCTTTTCCTCCAGTAACTGGCCTGTACATACCACAGTGTTGTTGTATTGATTCGCGTCACTTTCGTGTTGTTCTTCAAGAATTTGCATGCACTCTATAAATAAAATATTTTATTGTAAAAATAAACGTAACAGCAAAAGTTTTGTACCATCAAAAACTATGCTCATTTTGATAATTGATTTTTTCATGAACAGATTAACATATTTCTCTAATTTTTTTTATTATTTAAGACTTTTCTTTGGTATTGCCACTGAGAGTCAAAAGTTTACCAAAACTGTTGTGTTGAGCTTATACCGGGTAGAAGAAAAATTATTTTCTTATACTAAGTTTAAGACACCCTCTAGGGAAGACAAGGTACAAAGAAAGGAAATATACGCTGACAGACTTTTCTCGACTTTTCAGTCAAGAAGAAGATTAGATTCACCATTCTATCATCGTATCAATCAGCATAATTCTAAATAACCTAGATATCACTGTACCTCCTACATACACACTTACAAATTCTGATAATCCTCCACCATAGACAATATCTCTTCCAAAGTGCGATATCAGTTTTATATTATTAAAAAAATCTGATAAAATCTGATTTATCATATTTCTTTATAACCAAAGCCTTAGAAAAGTTAAATAGTCATAGCAAGTCCAACCACATTTATACTGATGTGTCAAAATCGGAAAATGGAGTGGGTGCTGCATTTATAACAACCAGCGAAGAACGGTCATTTCACCTCCCTAAGCAATTCACTATATTCTCTGCTGAACTATTTGCCATTCTTCAGGCAATCAAGTTCGTCGATGAAAATAACATTGTTAATAGCCTAATAATTATTGGTTCATTGAGTTCATTATCCCCATTAAACATACTTTTTACTAAACACCCTATTTTAAGTTTAATTAAGTCGGAACTCATGATATGCCAAATCAATCATCGAATTGTTCAGTTTTGTTTTGGACCCCTTCATATTGTGGAAAAAAAGGAAATGAAAGAGCCGACAATGTTGCAAAACAATCAATTGAGAAACCAACTTCATTGTCAATGTCTACTTGTCACCACCTTGATTTTCTTATGGTACCATATCCAATTAGTGGATGTTGTCGACAATTCTGGCATACTCCTCTCGATCTTGAGTGGCTCTAAACAGTGCATGGGCATCAAGGTTTGTCCAATCCCTTATGTTGTTGAGCCATGGTATTTCTTTTTTCCGATGCCCCGTTTTCCTTCTATCTTCCCTTCCATAATAAGTTTTAAGAACTGGTACTTGGAATTTCCATAATAAGAAAATTAGAAAGATTCAATATCTGCGTCATATAATGAGGGACGAGATGTATATATTACTTAGGTTAATTATGCAAGGGAAGATACAGGGAAAGAGAAACCCAGGACACCGCAAAATATCCTGGCTAAGAAATTTGAGAGAGTGGTTCGGTTGCAGCTCATTAGAATTATTTAGAAGCACGGCCAATAAAACTAAAATAGCGATGATGATTTCCAACCTCCGATAAGAGAAGGAACCTGAAGAAGAAGACTTGGAATTTCAAAATATATGTCCTAGATAAGCAGTTTTTCTTCTTTTTATTATTGGAAGCAAATTTTCGTTTTCTTCCCATTCTATTTAATACTTCGACATTTGTTGTGTGATCTGTCCAAGGAGTTTTAAGTAGTCTTCGAAATATCCACATTTCAAAGGCCTCCAATCGATTTATCACATTGGCCTTTATGGTCCAGGTTTCTAAACTATATAGCAGTATGGAGTAAATGTAACATTTTACAAAGCGATGTCGAAGCGTTAAGTTAAGGCTACTGTTGTTTAGCAAGGTTTTCATATTAGTAAATGCTGTTCTGGCTTGCCCAATCCTGCTACGTATCTCTATGTCTGGATCTAGATCTTCAGTTATCCAACTGCCAAGATATCTGAGCTTGGGGACCTTTTGGATGCTTTTATTGTTTACTCTTATATTTAATTGCATATTTCGTGTTCTACTAACCACCATAAACTTTTCTCTTTTCTATATTAATCTTCAAGCCCAACGAACTTCAAGTCGTTCTCCTTCAGTGTTTATTCTATCTATCAGTCGTTCTAACGCTTTTTGGCTATCAGCTATAGCGAAGATTACTAATAGTCTGTCCGTTAATTTTGATTTCATCTTCAGTGTCACTTAAGGCTCTATCGAAAATCGTTTCAGAGTAAAGATTAAACAGGAGGGGTGACAGAACAACCCTGTCGTACACCTTAGTCCTACTCTCACAGATACCACTTGATTCATATAAAGGTTCTTTATGATCTTAAGGTCATTTTGCATGTCAAACAATATTTTAAAAAGAGAATAATGAACACATGGCAGAAAACATGGGATGTCTCAAATTTAACCTTAGATCCATAAAATAAACTGTCCTATCATGGAGGCTATCTATGAAAAGAAGAGATCAAGTTATCATCTTCAGGTCCAGACTACGATTAGTACACACCAATTAATACAGAACTACAGATGCAACCCAAACCTTTGTGTTACGCGTGTGATAGAGATCTAACAGTACATCACTTATTAGTGAGTGTCTGTTGTAGGCATTTGAAAGAAAACATGAACAATTACCTACAACAATAAAAGTTGAAGAAAAATTCGAAGTGAACATAGTGATCACAATCGTGCCATACGTTTTTTGGTTTCCTCAGGACTAATCAATAAAATCTAATTGTATTCTTTGTTTTTTTTTATATGTATGTTAACTGAAACAGTATTAAATAAAAAAAAATATCCGGTTTTATTCCTTAACATGTGTTGCAACTGAAGCAATACTAAATTGACAATAAAAGATAACAACAAAACTTCCTTTCACAAGAAAATTTATTCGGTTTCGTTCTATCAAAATAATCATAATTTTTTGTGGTACAAAACTTTTGCTGTTTATTACAATTTAAAAATTTTTAAAATAATAATAATATGAAAAAAAAAATTTTTTTGTGAATTTTTTGTGTTTATTTGAACAATGGTTTAGAAAGTAACAGAATGTGTACTAAAGTCCGTTCAATATTTTGGCTGATTAGATATTGAAAACCACGGAAACAGAATGAAATTAAGAACTACTGGCGGAGGTGACCACATTTTCTAAATTAAAATTCATGAATCGAAATGGAATTATAAATACATACAAATATGCCTTCTTGCTAATTTGTATTACAATGCATAAAAATAGAGTAAAAGTTATGATCAAAAAAGAAAACAAATTTTTAACTTCAAAATCGTGTACATTTTGTATATACCGTATGTACAGCTTATATTCGAATAGTTATAACTCACCCCATATATGAATAAATTCCATAAAATTATAAACAACTTTTCTTACCTTCATACGGTATAATGGGAAGCTCTACGGTCTGCAAAATAGAGCTCCAATCAGTAGACATCATAAAACTGTGTAATCCCCATCCGGATAGAATTGCAGTACCTGATGAAACTTCAGCATCTTGTTTGGGTACTTTTATTGGCTGAACCAAATCGTTAAATTCAAAAGGTGGGTCTACTTTTATAAGAGCGATGTCTCCACCAAATTGTCTAAATTATAGATAATAAAATATTAATATAAAATTATAAAAAGGCATTTTTACAGTTCTCTCTCCAAAGTCTCTTCGAACATCTAGAAGAAGTAGAACAAAGAAGAAGAAGAACAAAGGTATTTAAGGCAGAGTCAAACCCAAAAAACTACAAAAATCACAAACAAATACACACACACGCACACATATATGCCCACACCTGATTGGATGGAAACGAAAGGTAGTAAAAATAACTAGTATCTTGGATATAGTAGCTATCCTTACAACTACCTTACAGCTATCATAACGGAAGCATAAATAACAATAAAAGTCACTTAAGTAAGTATAATTAATGACTTTAATGCCAAAGTGGAACCAAATGGAACCACTAAGAACGAAATTGACTTAATTCAACTTAATTCAATTAACCTAAAAGATTGCTACTATAAAAGATATCAGTATAATAAATAAATTTCAAACAGGCATCGAGCATAGACTAATCAGAGCAAAACTTGATTACTACCAAAAGACAATTAATTAATGATTACATGAACAAAACGACAGCTCTTAATGAATGCAAAGCATTCTTGATAGTGTCAAAGAAATCGTAATCCCGCAACAATAAAATGAACATGGTAAACTATATAATAAAACCAAAATAATTCTAAAACAAAGAACGGAAAACTACAAACAGATGCCAGTCTCCTCCCTGGAAAGTTCAAATACCAAAAGTAGATTTTACCTTACTTAACTATCCCAAACATTCACACAATCCTTCTGAAATAAAACAACAATTTCGGTCTACCATCTCCAGATACCCTCACTTCAAACCAATTTTTGCTGATGCCTCTAAAATCAGTAATGGTGTAGCTGCTGCAGCTATTTTTGAAGACAACACCTCTGTCACCCGTCTAGCCAAGGAGTGTAGCATATATGCTGGAGAACTGCAACGCACTGAACCAATGTACCAGCAATGATATAAATTATCTTATTATATCGGATTCTCTGACTGCCTTCAATGGTGTCAAGCAGATGTATCCTACTTATGCTAATTTAGCACTAATAAAAGACATACTATACAATGTCCAAACACGTGGTAAAATTTTTATGGGTACCATCCCATGTTGGGATAAAGGGTAATGAAGCAGCTGATAAAGCATCGACAGAAACTATCAATAACATGACAATTCTTATTATGCAAAACATACCAATTTCGGACCAAAAACATTAATAAAAACTTACATTAACACAACCTGGATAGTAAAATGGAGCCAAACAGAAGCAAAATTAAAAATTATCAAACCAGATGTTACTTCTGCTTTACTATCGCTCTCAGCTCAAGGACATGACCAAGTAGTTACTAACAGACTGCGGCTAGGTCATACAAAATTTACACATGGATACATCATCTCCAAGGACCTTGAGCAGATTTACCACACATGTCAAATACCATTTTAGTGTAACAAGACTATCCAGTGAACTCAACAGCAAGATCGAAAGCAAAAATAAAACAAAATTTGAAAGAAACTCTAAAGGAAGACATCAGTAATACAATAAATTTTATCAAAAATTGTAAAATGTATAATAAACTGTAGCAATATACATATCTAGGCACCAATTTAAATAGCCAATGGGACCACTCAACAGAAATTAAACAGCGAATAGTAAACAGAATAATAAAAGCAAAAGCTGTATTCGTTAGAATGAGAAACCATTTTCAACAGTCGAGATATGTCATTAAAAACAAAATGCCGTCTATTGAATTGCTATATATTCACAGTTCTGCTCTACGGAATGGAAGCGTGGACACTGACTGTTGCATCTATGAATCGGCTTGAAGCTTTCGAAATGTGGTGTTATAGGCGCATCTTACGTATATCCTGGGTGACAGAGTTACTATGTGGAGGTCCTGCGTAGAATGGGGAAAGCATGTGAAATTCTCATGACCGTCAAAATTAAAAAAATTGGAATATCTAGGACATGTAATGAGAAATCAAGAACGTTACGGCCTTCTCCAGCTGATTCTCCAAGGGAAGGTAAATGGTAAGAGAGGACCGGGAAGAAGACGCATTTCCTGGCTTCAAAATTTACGAAAGTGGTACAACACGACTACCACTGAACTGTTCCGCGCTGCAGCAAACAAAGTAAAGATAGCCGTGATGATCGCCAACATCCGGAACGGATAGGCACTTTCTTTAAGAAGAAGAAGATAAGAAACTGTAACATAACATAAAATGTTTGTTTTTTCAAAACTGTTATGTAAATTTTAGTAATATACTAAGTGTATATATATATTATATATTATATTTATATATATATATATATAATGAATTCTGGATATTCGTGACTGTCAATTTAAACAAACAACAAAGTTTATTGGGGCTGCAGTCAGAAGTTTGGCCGGGATGTTACAGAAACACTCTTTTGACTTTTGGTCTAGCTTTCGGAATTGTTTAATTCCTTTATCAAGACACTGTAATTAAAAAAATGTGTAAATATTTACAATATATCACAAAATGTCAGTGTCTTACTAGTCGTTGAGATTATTTGTAAGAAGCTATGACACTCAACATTAATAACAAACATATAAAACTAGAACTTAAACAATAATGGATACAATACATTTTAAAATTTAGTTAAAAATAATAAAAGTTCTAAAAATTGGTTTTCTACATCTTCTTGGTGTGTAAAAAATAACAATAGTATGATTAAAAATTCATTAGTTCTTCATATGTTATTAATAGAAGGTAATGTATTAAACCTGTATTGATGGTATGCAACCTGTTTAGCATGCAGGTGTATTATGTTGTGTATATGTACAAGTAAGTCTTTATGTCATTTTTGATGTTTAGTCAGTAAATAACAATAAATGTTACGCAATTTGTCTGATATCGGACTTCTTATTTATACAAGACGCACTGGACTTTATTAAACACATTTCCAAGAAAACACGTTTAGAATGGTTATTTTCCCTTGCCAGAATACAGGAATCCTTGAAATTAAATTCATGTTTTAAACTTAATGCATGTTCTGTCAACGCGCATGCGTTAATTTTTTTGGTTTTTATGTCGCCGCGATGTGAGATCACCTTACTGTGAAAATTACGAGATGTTTCACCAATGTACACGTTCCTAATGAATTTTTAATCATACTATTTTTATTTTTTTTATTCTCTATGGGTAAGTTAAAACACACCAAGAAGATGTAGAAAACGAATTTTTAGAACTTTTATTATTTTTAACTAACTTTTAAAATGTATTGTATCCATTATTGTATAAGTTTTTAGTGTATATGTTTGTTTTTAATGTTGAGTGTCATAGCTTCTTACAAATAATCTCAACGACTAGTAAGTACACTGACATTTTGTGATATATTGTAAATATTTTACACATTTTTCTAATTACAGTGTCTTGATAAAGGAATTAAACAATTCCGAAAGCTAGACCAAAAGTCAAAAGAGTGTTTCTGTAACATCCCGGCCAAACTTCTGACTGCAGCCCCAATAAACTTTGTTGTTTGTATATATATATATATATATATATATATATATATATATATATATATATATATATATATATATCCTGTAGCGTAATCCGCCTTTGGGTTCCCGTTCGCCAAGCCTGTCTATACTACCAGTCTTCTTCAGATAGATTTCTTGCTGATATTGCTTTTGAAATTTCTTGCATCCATGTTGTTGGTGGTCGTCCTCGTTTTGTTTTCTCTGGTGGGATCCCTTCTACTATTTTTTTTGTAGTCTTTCTTTCCCCATACGTCTAACATGTCCGTACCACGTCAGATGTTGTTTTTCGATGTCTTCTATAATTGATCCTTGTACATTCATTTGATTCCTTATGTCCTCATTTCTCACATGTTCTAATCTAGACTTTCCCGCTGCTCTCCTCCAAAAATCCATTTCAACTGCCAATAGGTTACCTTTAAGTTTTTGTGATAACTGCCATACTTCTGAGCCATAGACGATTACTGGTTTCAATATGGTATTTCATTTTTTCGTTTCCGTTCTTTAATTTTCTGCCATAGTACTGAATTCAATGCACCTATAACTCCTTTCCCTTTGGTTATTGTCTTTTATGGCCTCATCAGTTCTTCCTGTCTTTGTTAGTTTTACCCCTTAGTTTTTTACTAAGTGTAACATTTCTAAAATAAAGATATACCACCCCGCTAATAACCTTAGGGGTTGATGCGGTAAAAAAAGAATGGAAAAAAAGTAAGTAGCAAAGAGAATACAATACACAGAACTTTGTCAGACAATAAGGAAAATTATTAAGAAAGACTTTAGAAAATACAATGAAAGATTGGTAGAAAGTGAAATTAAAAACACAAGAAACTAAGAGCATTATTCATTGGAAAAAAGCCAATCGTTGCTCTAAGAAAAGAAAACACTAGAATTAAAGACAGAAAGGAAATAACACAACTCGTGACTAAATTCTACAACAAACTATACAAAGTTCTTGAAACACTTAAAGAAGCAATCAGTAACCAAGAAGATGTACCAGAAGCCCTTCCGGAATCGACAATTACAAAAATGAAAGGCAGTAAAGCAGCTGGAATAGATGGAATAACAGTGGAACTGCTTAAATATACTGGTAAAAAAAATCTGGAAAATCTTTGCACGCATATGTATGAACTGCCTAAGAACAAAATGGACACTACACCACTGGAATAGAGCAATCATTATTCATATTCACAAGAAAGGTAGCAAAGATGATATAAAAAATTACAGACCTGTACCTCTTCTACCAATTACATAAAAGATATTTACAAAGATCATCAACAGATTAACAAATGCATTCAATGCTGCACAGCTAAGAGAGCAATCTGGATTCAGTATCGTGGATGATATTCATAGGCTTCTAGAACCAATAAGTAGAGCTAAATAATATGAAATACCGTTAGCAGTAAATTCGAGAAGGCTTTCGCTTCTATATATATCAAGGCAGTTATACAAGCTATGAGCAGCTGAGGCATTGACAAACCGTACATATAGACCTAAGAAAATATATC